AAGGGGGGTTCCACCCGGATATTTTCTTGTTTAAATAAAAGCAGAAAGATGAGAGACATCAGTAAAAGTACGAGCAGTATCAGATTAAAATAGGAAAGTTTTGATGTTGTTTGAAGTTTTCATCAGTGAAACACAAACTGGCAATACTGTGACGTATCGTGTGAGCTACTCTTCCAGTTGCGCTAAATACAGAAAATGTCATAAGTTTGTATTGTCTCAGTTATTTAAGACGTAATAAACTTTATACAGGGGTTGTATTAAAAATTTTAAAAAGATATTAAGGCAAATTTGTGACTTGATTGATCGCACCATGCTAAACTTTCTTATTTCGAATAGGCTTTTGCTCAAACTTTCACTGAGCTGTTTCTCTCATTTTTCTGCTTTTATTAAAACCAACTTAATATCAGAGTGGACTTCCACTTTAAGGTGAATTTTTATCAATGATAGAAAGTTTAGTCTTATGTCAGTCGCTGACACTTCTTCTTACCGAGCTGATTTGAGGATATTTAAAATAGTTCCTTTAAACAAACTTGTTCCAGAGTTTGTAGTTGCAACAACCTTCAATACAATTTTTAGATAATGTTTGTATATTTATCTTTATAAATCATTGCTATTTACTGTTTCACTATGTATCCATGTACAAGTTGTGCGTCCGAACAGATTATTTCAAACAATAACTTGAAGAAGTTTCTTTAAACTCTTGTGCTGGATAATATTAAGTGTTATTTGATAAATATTATTCTTTATGTCTGAAGAAAAACATAAGTGAGAGCTTTAATTGTCCTTAGCGTCCGGACACACAAACCGCAATTCTTGTTGGCGCTTTGCGTTGCCAAGTTGGATGATTTTCGAATAAAGATCGTCAGTTCCTGATCGCAAGTTGGATGATTTTTTCGAATAAAGATCGTCAGTTCCTGATCGCAAGTTGGATGATTTTCGAATAAAGATCGTCAGTTCCTGATCGCAAGTTGGATGATTTTCGAATAAATATCGTCTTTTCCTGATCAGGAACTGACGATGAACTGACGACCTTTATTCGAAAATTATCCAACTTGGGAACGCAAAGCGCTAACAGGATTTGCGGTATGTGTGTCCGGACGCTAAGGAAAATTAAAGCTCTCACTTATGTTTGTCTTCAGAGATAAAGAATAATATTCATCAAATAGCACTCTATGGATGAAAAATCGGGGGTTCGCTAGTCTCAAGGAATTAGTCATCTATTTTAACTTGTTCTGTGTTGCAAAGTATTCCGATGCAGACTTCTAATTTTACGCCACACACACACACACACGCACATTTATATAACTCACCTGCCGGTTAATTGAATCTAGTCTCATCGAAACTACTGGCCCGTATACGTGGTTTGGTGGTTAAGGCATTGGCGTTCTAAGCTAGCGACCCGGGTTCGATTCCCGGCAGAGATCAAGTCCTTTAAGACTGAAGACTGAAAATAGTCTTAGGAGAAGAAAAAAAAACAAAAGTTTCTAGACCTGGTCAAATTGGGAGGAAACCTCGAAAGATACGTCACAAAGATGCCAAATTGTGTTCGAGTGATCGCACTTAAAAAATTCATAACTTTCTTATTTCGAATAGGCTCTTGCTCAAACTTTGACTAACCAGTAAATCTCATGTTTCTGCTTCTATTAAAACCAACTTAATATCAGGGTGGAATTCCCCTTTAAGTGATTTTTGTTGGATAGAAAATTTACTATTATGTCAGTTGCTGACTCTATTATATTTCAAGGGGCATATTTGAGTATATATATTTAAAATAGTTCCTGTCAATTCCATTCAATTCAATTCATTTATTTTTCCTCTTTCAATCGTTCATATTTACAATGATGGTACATTTTAACATATTCACATATTTATATACATATAGATCAATTTGCACAATACAATACATTAAAAAAAATAAACATGAAATTGAAAGGGAAGGAGGGCCGACTAAAAAGCAGAGCTTGTAGGTTGTAAGCCCCCCTGTAAAAGTAATTATTATGAATTATTATTTTATGAGAAAAAAACAACAACAATAACAATAACTGATTCAGTAATACAAAAAATCACTTTTAAACGCAAAACATTGATAAATACATACATGTTTATAAAAAGAAACAATCAAAGTTGCATAAAGTCACACTACAAAATATATTTGATTGGGGAATGCAATAGCCTATAGTAACTATTCAGTGGAAAGCTTTTAAGTCTCCTTTTGAAAATTTGTATCGAATTACACTGTATAATATCATTTGAAAGAGAATTCCACAGTTTATTCCTTTAAACAATCTTGGTCCGGATTTGATGTTTGTAGTTTCTGCAACCTTTAATACAGCTCTTAAATCATTTTTGAATATACAACAATGCTATTCACTGTATCATTAGGTATTCCTTTACAAGTCGTATGTCCGAACAGTTTATTTCAAAAAGTAATTTGAAGAAGTTTCTTTAAATGCCTATGTTGGACAATATTAAGTGCTATTTGATGCCAAAGACAAACTAAGTAAAAACTTATTTTCCTCAGCGTCCGCAACCCGCAATCCTCTTAGCGCTCTGCGTTGCCAAGTCTGGATGTTTGTCGAATGACTCGATCATCATTTCCTGCTCGTGCCCTCGATCTGGGTGAACATTTGAGGTTTCACTAGTCTCAAGGAATTAGTCATCTATTTCATCTTATTCTGTGCTCCGAAGTATTCTGAAGCAGACTTTTACGACACACACACACACACACACACACTCGCGCACACATACATATAACTCACCTCTCCCGGAAACTGAGAATAAATAAAGGCAAAAGAGTTGTCCAACTGTCGGCCAATATTAAGGACTTTTAAATTTGCACGACGAGAACGTGGACTGCTACGTAGGACATCCTTTTAAGGCAATGTGACGTCCTTTTAAGGCACTGCCGGGCCTTAAAAGTTGCATTATGGATTGCCTTAAAAGGACGTCACATTGCATTAAAAGGATGCCACCCTAGCAGTCCACGTTCTCGTCGTGCAAATCTAAGACTTTTTCATACAATACCTCCAAATTACCTTTCTTTTCCTGGTGATGCTTCAGTACGTCTGACATAGCAATTCCTATGTTAACTATTGTAAACGGGTGATCAGCTCTGGTGAAGCTACATACCACCGTCTTTTATTAGCTCACTAATCATTGACGGATGCTATCACAAGATGAATGAGATCTGGGGCATTTTTTGAGGGTGGAACCTAGCAGGTCTGAGAAAATTACTTTAAAACATATTTTAGAATCTATGAAATATATTTAGATGTTTGAAAAACAAGATAGGAGTTGTATATGCAGCCCTACAAATCAACAGGAATCAATTTGGATGTCACCCGACCTTTACGAAAGCCAAGGAATCGCAAACTTTCCGAAATGGTAAACTGGTATACAGAATTCTGAATAGCAATGACATGAATTATATTATTATTATTTTGCCCAAATTTATACAAACTCCTAGATCCTTTATAATGTTGCACTCAACAACTGTTGGGCTTTAGATAATAGCGGAATATGATCGCCAATATTTTCGACAATTCAAGCCCGGTTCAATTTCGAAACATTCGGGTTAATCCTATAGAAATAACGTTCGGATTACGTAAAACGTCATTGTCAGGTTCGCATTGTTCACGCAGCGCTATTGAAATAAGAATAAAGAATTTGAATAAAATTACATGTGGTAGCGTAGGACAAACATTAAAGACCACTCTAACCCAACTAACATAGCCTTTCAAAACATGAATACGCATTTTCTTATTAATATTCCAGCCTCTGATGTTTCAGAAAATCTCTAAATTGACAAAAAATGATAATAACCATCCATTCTTCACAGATCTCATGCCTGCTGAGCTACGCCCCTTGAAAAAAGGTAATAGTTATTACGGTCAAGTGGCTTGATGACGCATTTGACGTCATTGCGGGAATGTCCGATTTTTCCTACAAAATTTAATAAGGATCTTACGATCTTGGAGGAATGGCGAAATTGCCAGAAACGTACTGGGATTATCAAGTGCATATTATTTTTCGGATGAATTTTTTTTTTCTTGCTTCAATTAATATCATGGTTTGCCTTTTAAAGAAATGTTAATGCCTAAATAACCCTCCTTTTCACCGAAGAGGCTCCTGCAGTGACGTCATATGCTATTGCGCAATACAGCCATGAAACTGGACTTTTTTTCTGAGCGTTCTGAGTCGTCATGTTTAAAGGTAGATTCCAGAATTATTGATGATTTGTAAGAAAATAATTGTCACGTTCGGAATCTCCGTCATAAATTATTCTAAATGTATTTGTTTTTCCCTTCATTTTGTTAGCCTGTTTTGGTTAGAGTGGCCCTTTAAGGCTTGTCTTAGCTAGCATCAATTATTGAATACAATAATTATTCGTAACAGGTGATTGAAACGAGGCACTTATAAAAGTGTGCATTGAATTATACATTTCAAAAATGGTCTATTACATCACTTGATTTTCGAAACTAGTTGCCATCGTGTTAGTTATTGGCTTGGCATCAGAAATGGCAAGATGAAGGTTGAATTCTTGAAAAAAAGACTTTTATGAGCTGGTTTGATTTCCGATCCAGCTTCCGTTGGGAAGCACACCAAAACGGATATAGGTCGAAGCGTTGTATGACTACTGCTACCAAAACATTATCATTCTTGGAAGTATATATATAATATCACGCGATATAATTCTGAACATTGTTCATACCTGTGCCATAGGTCTCCATGCAACTGATGTCACAACCGATTCAGAACTGTTTAGTATGCATTTTTTCTGGATATAAATCGGAACTACGGATATAAAGGTTTCAACGTGATCAATAGACTAGCGAAATGGATAGACGCCTTAATACGATGAGCGTTAAAGAGTGCTTTCAAATTTAGTTACCAAACAGTGTCTAAACAGTGTCTAGTAATGCCCTTATTGCATTGTGAGCGGCTTCATTCTGTTTGAGAGGATCTTGCTTGTATATGAACATTATTTTGTGATTAGGAACATGCCTAGAGCGAGGAGAACTTCGTTCACGTCAAGTTTAGACGTGAATTCCTTTTCTACCGATGTATACACTTTGGAGAAGACCGGGCGGGAGGTTGCCCGAGGCCGGTGGATCACAGTCGAACCTCTGCTGATTCTCTCCAACATGGCTAGCGCCGGTCTCCTGGTGACGAGGTTGCAGTACCTCCGCGCCCGCATCGCGCATGATAAATTCAACCAGACTTCTGATTATGGCGCAAACGAGTCATCGGAATGCGACGAAGCCATCCAGAATAGCAGTAGTATTCAACTGCAGCAGGCGATTCAAGTCGAGTTATCGCTTTATTCGCTGATCTTGAACGCACTTAGTACTTTTCCCGCCATTTTCTCGACGATACTCTTTGGATCACTCAGCGATCGCATTGGACGGAGGATCGGTCTCGTCGTGCCGATCATTGGTCTGGTCATTCAGTGCGCGCTTTACGTCACCATCTTCTACGCGCATCTACCAATATGGGTGTGTTTTGTTGCTGATACGTTACAGGGCCTTGCAGGTATATCATGCATGCCTTTATTTTCTTTGTAACTATGGTAACAATGAACAAAACAACATCAAGGCCTTTTCAGACTTTTCGCATATCTTAACAAGCGCGTAATAGCCAACAACATTTTTTTAAATAGTAACATTGTGATATTCTGATTTCAGCCATTTTTAAATGCCTAAAACGCTTCAACTTTCTTCGCCCCCCCCCCCCCCAAAAAAAATAGATGCATGAATGAAAATAACAATGACGTCTTCAGCTAGTATACAGGGTGGCCAAAACAAGAACTCTACACCAGAGATCTGCAATTCCAACGTCATTTATTAATTTTGGAAGGAAATTCGTTTCTAAACAAAATGACACCAAGATCAACAATTTGGGGTAAGGCGATTTGATTCTATGGCTATTCTGTTGCTACCTTCTTTGCAACCGTATATAGTCATGCTTGAAGCAGGGAGAAATTTGCGCAGGATGACTACCCACACGATCAGCTGTGGTGATAAGCAGTGAGTCATTATACAGTGCGTCCCAGAAACAAACGAAACCGAGAATTTGCAATGTTTTATCATAACTTAATCACAATATAATTAATAAATGACACATATTTGTAAAGGTTAGATCCTCCTCTTTCATTGTAGCAACAAACACTTTCGTCAACTCTGTTTGTTGCTACGGCAGGCAGCCAATGAACGCGAATTCGTTTTTAAATCAAATTATGTAAATGCAAGTATTACTTTAAACAAACAAAACTTTGTTATTCCTGGCTCATTTTTCCTGATTGAGGTGTCATCTGAAAGGGCAAAAAATGAACTTACTAGAAGTGTGATTTTCTCTTTGAATTCAGATACAGCTCGCCAAATGACGTTTTGGTCCTCTCTTCAAATTGTTTTTAATCATTTATGCATGAAATATGCATCATTTGAGTTGCATCATATGAAAGAGGGGGATTTAACCTTTATAAACATGTGTCATTTTTTAATTATATTTGCGATTAAGTTATGATAAAACATCGATAATTCTCGGTTTCGTTTTTCTGGGACGCACTGTATATCGTTGAAATTTGTAGATCTTTTTTTTTGGCCCACCCTGTATACGTCTGGACTTTGATAAAAGGAAACATAGATCGATCATGGGATGTTGGTTTGTTATTGCCAAATTAATGTGAAAGAATTTCACCTTAATCAGGAAGGGCATTAAAGATATTAAATCCCTTTTGCAGCCAACATCAAAGTCTGTATAACTTTGCAGGAATTATGAATATATCATGTATGTCCTGACTGCGAAATTTAAACGTTAGCAGTTGAAATTATGCAAGGGAACCCGTTTAGTTGATTGTAATCACTTTTGTTGATTCGACAACTTTTGGTCATTATTTCCCCACAAAAAAGCCATTTTGAAACCCCATCGTTTTGAGAGAAGTTCTAAATAAGTATTGTCTTTCAAATGCCGTTGGAATTTAATCTTTACATTTTGATGACATGCAAATGGAGCATAGCACCTTTAAAGATGGTTTTCTTTTAATAACGATAACAACATTATATGGCGGAGCACCCCATCGTATTTGAAGTCATGGTTGCAATATTTATCCATCCATAGCTGCCTAATTCCTGATTCAACTCAGTCTAACTTTGCATGCAACTCTTATTCCATTCTAAGACAACCTTTTCTTTTCTCGCTTATATAGAAAATTGACTATTTTGTAGTTTAGGAATCATAGACTATATTTTACTTTAATGAGAATAATAGAGATAACCTTTCAATCATAGATATCATCAAGCTACATGAATTGTCTCAAAGCAATTCTGTATAGATATTTCCCATTTCACCTGTCTTTCAATTCAACAATGTTCAGCAAAATATTTGTAGAAAATCAGACATTCATTTTCATACCCTCCCCTTTCTCTTGGAAATATTATGGTTAAAGAAATTTTTTTTGCAACGATCACCTCAAGGGGACCGGATATTCTTTGTCTGTGTGAGATATAATATAACAATCTTAAAATATCATGAACTTCCTCCCGAAATGTTGCACTTCCGTCGAAAGGAAAGCCGTCATTTCACCTGGGACTCTACATCCCCCTCCCTCCCTGCTCCCCTACCCCGGCCCCTTGAATATCTGCTTCAGCTGTGAGTCGAAAGTTTCCTCTTGAAATGGCTCGCTTCCCCCGAAAGGAAGGCTATTTCGTGACCCCTTGACCCCACCCCTCAAAAAAGAAAAAGAAAAAAAAAGACCTTTAGTTTGTATTGAGACCGACTAGCAAAACTACGAAGATGAAAGCATTAATATAGAGCGTACAAGCGTACAAGAATTCAAGAATTACGATTTAATCAAAGAGCTTGTGAGAAAATGTAGGAAAAATGAAGCAAAATATAAGCTCCAGGAAATCTGTGTAAAATTATTTAAAATGTTTCATGTTGAATTGGCTGATCGTCACCATCATCATCAAAACTACAATCAGTCAACATTCCTTACGTTGTAATGGAATTAAGTTATGGAATGACCTAGACAAGTAAAACTGGTGTTAAATTTATTTTAAAAATGAAGAATGAAATGTTCATGCAGTAATAATAAACACACCCAATTAGATACTGAATAATTTGCTCCACGTGTTTTGTAATTGTTTATAATACTGTAAAGCACCAGCTAGTATAGGGCCGCATAGGGACGCAGTGTCACTTGACGCCGTGTCCTATGTGCGCTCATGGCTGGTGCTCTGCTGTAAAGGTCTTATGCTCACATAATAAATAGGTTTTTATAATCTTTTTCTTGTATAATTATATTTGTTTTCCCGTTAATGTTGTTTTTAGGGGCTACGTACCTCATGTAAATATATTAATTATTGCATATGTATTTTTATGGTTGAAATAAATTTAATTGAATCGAATTGAATTATTTACTTCAAAAAAACCAATCATTTGTCATTTCGCTGATCTCGCGTTCAGGTGGATATGGACTTTTGCTCAGTACAGCATCAGCATACATCGCTGACGTCACTAGTGTGGAGCAGCGAACATGGCGTCTCGTCATTGCGGAGGCGGCGCTTGTTCTAGGCTCCGGAGTGATCCAGCCAATCAACGGCTTCATTATACAATACTGTGGTATAGGCGTGGCCTTCTGTACTTCGCTAGGCGTGGCGTTGCCAGGGTTACTTTATGCCGTGTGTCCATTGACCACGCCCGAAACGGTAGAGGAAGATACGGAGGAAACATTTTCTGAATACATCAAAGGTAAGAGAATTGATTATCCTTATTGCAAATTTTCTCTTATTGAATGTTTTTCCGTATGTTATTTGAATTTAATTTGAATTTCGAATTCAATGGTTTCTATATGTCAATTTTTTCAAACATGGATTTTTCTATCCAAGAATGTATATTTCATAATATCTTTCTATTAATTGCAGTAAATAATTTGAACATGTGCGTCTTTATATCTATATGCACAGATGAAATTAATTGAAAATGCTGAATTCATACAAAACATAAATGAGATATAAAAGGGTTACAACGTGTGTCCATACCTGGAACTCGATTTGCTTACAACCCTTTTTGTTCTCGTTCTTCCAAAGTTTTTAAGTTGATATATTGATGAATTATCGGAAACAATGGGCTCTGGTTTGATAGAAGTGACTGCTGAGAAGTCTGCCATCCATACTTTAAGTATATACTTTAAGTATGGATGACAGACGTAACTTGCGTAGCCCGTAATGTCTGTTTACAACAATAATTTTTGTATGATTATGATCACCAACTTCCTGGCGACTAGCACTGATCATTAGTTTCAACCAACAACAATATAATGACATATCTAAAAAATAAAATTTTCTATCCAACCCCAAAAAACTTTTCTTGCTCATAATTGAACTTAAGCAAAGCATATGTTTATAGCAGAACCCCAAGCCCCCCCCCCCCCCTCAAATAAAAAAAAAGTAATAATGATGAATAAATATATAATATTTATTTAATTATATATCATATATAAAATCCTTCTACAAATAATTGTTATTGGCATGATGGTTCATTTCATTTCATACAGATATCTTTCGCGGGATTTACCGCTTGCTTTCCATCAACGTCAACGGCAGACGTTGGAAGATCGCTTTCCTCTTTATCGCCGAACTCTTCTTGAATACCGTGATCAACGGGCTTCAGATCGTCCCCACCTATGGGCTCGGTCCACCGTTCTGCTGGGGCCCGAGTATTGTGGGCTATTTTACCGCCGCTGTGGCTATCTTACCCGTCATCGGTACTACATTCATTTTATTTTTCAATAAACTAATAATGAATTATAATGGATGTATTTTTCTTTCATAAACACAAAAAGGGATGTTATTAATGTTTATTTACATGTATTATGAATATTTGTTCTTTCTTTAAAAAACACAACTTCATCCTATGTACCACAATTGATGTATAAACGAATAATGATTGCATAACTTTCATGATAAATGTACCCAGCATTCGTAATTTTCTTTTCGATGTGTTTTTCTGTTTTATACAAATTGTTTTTATTTCCCCATCGCAGATAGTATATCAGAAATGGTTTCGGTTTTAAAAAAATACTAATCAACAGAACTAGCCTGCATCACAGCTACACAATTCGAAAAATCTAGCTTAAAGGAAATCTATGGTGGCCCAGAAGGGACATCATGAAATTGCGGATAATTCGCGACCAAATTCAAAACGTCGCAAATTTTAAAATTCGCGACGAAATACGCGACGTCGTGAGTTTCGTCATGAATTATTTGCGACAGAATATGTCGCGTCGCATATTTCGTCGCGGATTTCGTCGTGAATGTTGTTCGTGCTTTTGGTATTCTATTACTTTGTTCTCTTTCTCTCCCTCTATCTTTATATCTCTCACTTTCTATCCCCTCTTTCTCTCTCTCTCTCTCTCTCTCTCTCTCATTCCCTCTTATTCTCTCTATCCTGGTACATTTTGGAATGAAACGATTTAGGATTTAGCGCCTGTTGAAATTATACTCTCTTCCTTATTTGTTCTCATCCTCTTTCGAGGTATTCGAGGTAACATGAAAACAAAATCGAAGTTTTACAGCAACCATTGAACTGTACTCTATATCTTGCCTTTTATACAGGTGTAACAGTAGCTGTGAAACTGTTCGGAATTTGTATGGATGATTTGTGGATGATCTTTTGCGGAACGTTGGCCATGGCAGCCTCCTGCGTGGCGACAGGTGTAGCGCCCTCTACGCCGTATCTATTCATAGGTAAGAGTGAATTTGTCGTATATGTGTTTATTTGTTTGTTCCGTTTTGGTAAACGAATATACAAGAATAACAAGACATATAAATCAAATAATTTACATAAAATGATGTACTAAGTTTGTATCAGAGGCAAAATAGAATTATGACCAAGAAAAGGTTTTGTTGAATGGCTGGGATCTTCCACTGACTCCTTTGTGCCTGCACCTGTCATCTTTTATTATTATTATAATTATAATCATAGTTTCCTTCGGAAACATTAAAAATATTGAATAAAGGTAACTACTCTCACAATATAATAATACTTTTTATCATTTGTTTAAAAAATCTTTATATAGCACTGGTTCCATACAGCATAGGATGTCTCATCTCGCCTGTTATGAAAGGCGTCCTTTCTAAACTCGTTGATGAACATGAACAGGGTAGGTTGGCCTTATAGGAATTATAGTGATCTTTCAAGAAGAATTTGTTTGATGGGGAGAAGTGTTTTGATGATAATAATGACGACAATAAAAGGCCCAGGCGCGTACGCAGGATTTTTTTCAAGGGGGGGGGGGGGTTAACATTTTTAAATCGGGCCGAATTTTTTGCAACGACTCAGCCAGCCGCTGAATAAGCGGGGGTAGGGGGGGGGGGGGGGGGGGGGGTAAGAGGACACTTTTTTTTTTTTTTTTGTCTCGAAATTTGAAAATTTGACATTTTGCTCCGTATGTGGGGGGGGGGGGGTAAAGTCTAGTTTTTTAGGTCAGCCATTGGTATATATTGGGGGGGGGGTCCTCTAAAAATACACACATAAAAAATACCAAAGGGGGGTTAACCCCCTAAATCCCCCCCCCCCCCAACCTCCGTACGCGCCTGGAAAGGCCTAATGATGATGATGATGATAATGATAGTGATGATCATCTTGATGAAAATGAAGATGATGATGATGATGACGGTGATGGTGATTGTGGTGATGATGATGGTGGTGATGATGATGGTGATGATGATGACGACGATGCTGGTGATGATGATGATGATGGTGATGATGATAATGATGATGATGATGATGATAATGATGATGATGGTGATGATGATGATGATGATGACGATGATGGTGATGATGATAATGATGGTGATGTTGTTGATGACCACGATGGTGATGATTATGATGATGAAGACGATGATGATTTTATATGATGAAGACGATGTTTAATGACGATAGTGATAAAAGAAGTCCTAATGAGAATACCATTGAAAGCGATGTCATTGATCGATGACTAATGATAATAACCAAAGTATCGGTATAATAATGATGATGATGTTGATGATGGTGAATTGGGATATGCTATATAAGTAATGGTGATAATTGTGGCGACGAAGATGAAAATCAAGATTTCATGAAAATTAAGTTGATAACATTTATGATTATGATCAACAATAGCATGATTTGTTGATGTTAATAATGACTGTAATAATCATGATAACGAATTTACACTTTACCTTCTAATTTCTCATTCATATCTACACCAGGGTCTGTCTTTGCTCTGGCTGGTTGTATGGTGAATATATCCCAGTTCGTTGGACCGGTTCTAGCAAACGCCCTCTACGCTTCAACAGTGTCTGTCTTTTCGCCTCTAGCATTTTACGTTTTGGCTGGACTATTGATTTTTCCTACAATTCTGAACGGGTAAAATTCCTTTCTTTTTCTCGTTCATCTCCTATAAGGCATACTGCAATTATTATGCAGTATATTTTGATGCTTTACATTTATCGAGAATAAAATAATAATGATAATAAAATCATCTTTATAGTGCTAACATAAAATGTATTTAATCTCAAAACAGCTTAATTTCACGACCACACAATGCATAAAAAGACCCCCTGTCAAAAAAATTCCTCATATCTTGTCAAGTTTTGAGCGTTTCTCATCGGCGCCAATATCAAAGTTACCTGCACAACATTTTTACCGCTTTTCATGAAGTGATTGTGAGAACATTATAGTTTACCTATTCTCAGAACTGTATTGATCAATCTAAAGAGTCATAGAGATGATCACTAGAGTTCTGAGAAGATATAAACTTTATCTATGAAAAAAAAATCATATTGTCACAATTACTTTATGCAAAAAGCTAAGATTTTTTGTTTCCAACTTGATGTCCACTAGATCGACAGTCCAGGAGATCGACAAAACAAAGAAAGACATAAGCGAATTAATATAAAAACAAGTATCAGTCTCGTCGATCTTTGTTTTAGTTACTAGCTTTTAAGTAGGTTCACTTTTCATTTTCGTATTTAATGATTTAAAGAACATTCTTTCATAATTATTATTGATTACTATGATTGAGGATCATTTTACTTCCATACAAGACGTGTTTTTTGAAATCTTCAGTTCATGTTTTGTAAACATGACATGTCTACAATAATAAATAATCAATAATAATTTTGAAAGAATGTTCTTTAAATCATTAAATACGAAAATGAAAAGTGAACTGTATTATGCTTCGTTATTTTTACATGGTATAATAAAAGAAACCAATCAATCAATCAAACAAAAGTTGAACCCTCTGGAAATGACCAGAAGGCCTACGAGTCTGATTGGCATAAATCACAAGTTCACGATGGTTCTCCAATAACGTTAGTCTATAAATCTTTCTTCGTTGTCCTTTTGTGCAGGATTGTTCAAAGCTATGGCACGGAAACTCACCTAGGCTACACACAAATACCAGGTGATGACGATGGTTGATAAACAGAGACAGCGTTCAATTCGGATGGCATCCACTGGTTTCCATAGTGATCAGGAGCGTCATCAGTATCATCGGTGTCAAACACAGAGCTCATCTCTGATTTGTGTGTCATTTCAGTGCATCCATCTCGGCCTACATGTTGGTTTTTGTATGGATTCCCAAATCTTTTGGGAAGGGTTTTGTGGATACCTCATTTACCAAAAATTACGTTTACATCTTATTGTATAATGTAGCTCCGTAGTCACGGTGAAAGTTGCCCGATGCGCTCCAATATTAGTCGGCTCTAGCTAGGCTACCGTTTTCGGAACGGACAGCGTTCAAGAAAATCGTTCCGGTAACCATTTTTAAACCTAGGTTGAGAGTAGAGTTCAATGTCTAGGCAAAGTCAAAGGACACTAGTGCCGCGTGGGGACTCGAACCCAAGACATTCGCGCCTGTAGTCAAGTATATAAACCGTATATAAATGCATATTTGTACTATTTTATACTTAAAAGAAAGTTTTAAACAAAAGAATTAGCGCTTGGCATAATATATTTGTTTAAATGGGTGCTTGTATAGCGCTCATATCTGTCAGACTTGACACTCCTGACGTTCCCGACTATAACCCTGGCTTTAGCGCTCTAGCATTTCAAGGAATTAATTCATTCCAGGTGCCCAGTAATATCACCTGGATTGAGCCTGGCAAGTGAAGATCAATGTCTAGCCAAAAGACGTTAGTGCCGCGGCTGGACTCGAACCGAATGTGATTCACGGTCCGGTAACGTATCCATTCGACCACGACACCTGATCCAGACCTAACCTCACATGATCATTATTCTGAAGGTTATGTAGGCCTTTAGGGCCCAGCCTAAAACTGTTGTGGAGATTTTTTATATTTGATTATTGTTTAGTAACATTGTTTCGCGAGTGCCGTATTTAACTCAACCGTTGGTGCCCCCTTCTATTTCTTCTATTAAATTGTTTAATATCGTGAATAGCCAAGGCATTTATTTGTAGGAAACTATACAAATAATTTCACACGTCTTTATCCCCCTTCTCTCTCTCTCTACCCACATGCACACTCAAACGCACGCACATACACTTATATACACGATATTTCCTCGCTCTTTCTCTCTCTACTCATCTCTCACTCTCTCGCTCTCTCACTCCCTCGCTCTCTCTCGCTCTCTCTCTCTGTCTACTGTACTCATCCTTGCTCCCTTTCTATCTACACATTCCCTCCCCTCCCCCTCTCTCTCTGTCTCTTCTCTCTTTTTACCCAGCGCTCCTTTTCAGGACTTCCTCCCTTCTCACATGTGAAACCGTAAACCCAATTAAACATTGATGTAGTATTTATCTCAATATTTAAGGACATTTGATTGTCCTCTAAATGCGTCCGTCTCGAAGACTGATCAACTGGTATTCTTTCACATATGAGATATATAGGAGGGTTACAACTTATGCCTATACCTAAAACCTGATTTGCTTACAACCATTTTTTGTACTCATTGTTTCAAAGTTTTTAAATGTATATATTTGATGACAGAGAAGAATATACAACAAGCTCTATTTTTGTTGTTGTTGCAATCTACACGTTTTATTCAGTACTGCTACATGACATGAGCATAATGAAGTGTAGAGACATATTTGAGTCCCTGAAACAGAAAAATATGATCTCATAGCAAGCATAAAATCAAAAGAAGTGACGGTGCTAGATTTACTAAGAATTAAATACTACATTGTAAATGCTTCATGCACTATTGAACCATTAAAAGCAAAACGTGTCATCTTTTGACTGATAAAAGTCTACAAATCAAAATTGTACATGTACTCGGTTTCTATTGCTGTATAATTTAAAGGGATATATCTTGTATGGTGCTCATGATTTTGTGCAGTTCATCTCACTCTGTGTATGCGAATGTAAAAAAATTACAAATTGAAATTCTGAATACAATGATTATGTAAAAAGATGGACGTACTTATCATTTTTCTTATCGCTTGTATGTAAATTTCACCTTTTCTTCCTCTTTGTTTTTGTTTGTTTTTTATACATTAAAATTGATGAAATGTTCAGCAAATTTTCAGCTTGAAAATAAAATTCCATGTACTAAATACAGACCCGTTTTTTTCTCAAAATTGTACAATGACTTCTTTTCAGTGTTATTTTCCTTAGCCCTTCATGAATATAATAAGTACACTTCAGCCTAAATTTCTACATTGATCAATTTACACTTTAAAAATAACCATTATCATATAAATACAAATAACATGCAAAGTACAGGCATTCATAATAGTGAGAGAATTGTATTGCTAAGTATCTAATGAATATACACAAAAATAGAAGGATGGAATTTAATAGAAAAAAGTAAAATCCTGAAAAAATGAATGATATTCTCAGCATTTTCAGCCACAATTAGTATTGAAATGAACCTTACCTCCCCTTAAATAAATAACAAAATAAAACACATGGTTTGTTGAGAGACAGAAGAGCGTTAACTCAATGTCAAGCCCCTTCTGTCTCTGAACAGTTGTTGTATCAGCCTAAGATTCAGCCTGAGAATTCAGAAGTAGAAAGACATTTCAGCAACTCTTGAGCATATAAAAAGGCAAACTCCCCCCCCCCCCCCAATAAAAAAAAAAAATGAATTCCCAGATTCTAACTAATTAGTACGGTAACCAATGTCAATAGAAACAGAAAGCCTGTCATTTCTTATCAGATTGGTCAAATTTAAAAATAAAGAGAACAAAGGAGCAATTCCAATGGGAAATTGGAATAAAAGAAAGAAAAAAAGAAATTTGTTGGTATTTTTTAAAAGGAAGATGTGACAACACCAGATGTATTTTGAAAAGCTACAAATGATGCAAAATATAAATTGCTATGAAGTGAATTATAGTCTGAGTTTGTAAGATATCTAGAATTGGGTAAAAAGGGGAAAATTCATAGTTAGGAGGCAAGTCTTTCTACTTGTTTTTACAAAAGAAATGTGATAGGAAACTAGACCTAAATTGTATTTGGTAAAATATGATATAAATAGGGATGCCTTGCATTTGAATTGTTGACAGAAATCAAAATGGAACATATTTTTGTATCCATGAAAATTTAGTTGCAGCAGTGCATTGGGGCTTGGCAAGTTTCAATTTATTAAATGGAGAAGAGAATCGCATCATAAAATTGTTAAAATTCAATTAATATTGGTAATTACCTTATGAATAAAAAATTAAAGCATTAAAAAAAAATAATTGGCTGCCCCGTATACTCAATAATTTAACTTTCAATCATTTATGGACATAATCTTGTTTGGCGAGATTTTCATCATAAAAAAAGGCCAGTGAATTGACATTTCAAGACAATTTGTTGTCCCACCGAGGTCTAAGATATCAACTTCAGTTTCTAGACAGGCATTTTCCAAGCACATTCAGCAATTGAGTATCACTAAAAATTTATTTTACAGATGTGAAGAAGACAAGTTACTTATATATGAGATTATTTTCATCAGGCATGTTCAATAGCCTTCATATAGAGGTTAAATTCCAGGTAGAATTATGCAAATAGTGCTTCTCAGAAGTTCCCTTGAGAAGAGAAAGACCTAGATTATTGTAGAGTGGCCTCTAGAGGGAGCTGTTGTCCTTATAGACGCTTGCAGAGGCACAGTGCACAGGCCATTCCCATCAACTGCAGTGAGAGGGAAGGAGAGAGAGAGAGGGGGAGGGAGTGGAAGAGGGTGAGGGAGAGGGTGAAAAGGGGAGAGAGAAAGAGAGAGAGGGGGGGAGGTAGAGAGAGAGAGATAAAAAGGTCAGAGATATGAGACATAGAAAAGAAGAAATGGAGACAGAGAGAGAGAGAGAAGAAAGAAATGTAGGAGGGGGAGGGAATAAAAAAGGGGATAAATATTAGTTAATTACATGAAATAAAACCAAGCAAACATGTATCATTATAATAATGACAGTTAATGTAATTCATACACATATTAAAACAGAAATTCATGTTTACCATAACGAAAGAAAGATAGAAATAAAAATCAATATTTCACCGGGTACCTGACAAATGGGCTTAAGCAGGGAACTCTCTACCACTTCTGTGCCAACAAACCATTTTGAATGAAACGTGCTGGGGGGGGGGGGGGGGGTGTCTGACCAATTCGCAGAATAGTTAGCTGACAATTTTCGAAATGCGGTCAAGTAATAAAAAAATACAGTAGTCTGGTTTTCATCTTTGCAGACATTTGTCCATATCATTCTCTCACAGCAAAAAAAAAGGTCCTCAAGTTCTTTATATTCCCCGACGGCCTATAAAATTGTTGACTTTGCCGACAGAATTTTTTTAATGGGGTGTGTTGCATCCTTACTTCTGTTGGTCAATACCCAATTTCTTTGGTGAGTTTTGCCAGCCATGACTGACGCCTTTTTGTCGGGCACGTCACCTTTTTTTTTACTCTAAAATTCACTTACCTGAATGATGGCGACAACGATTCCCACGCCACCGAGAACAGTTCCATATTGTGCAACTTTATTCTTCACGCCTTCAGAACAACCCTGAGATAAAAGAAAGGAAATGATTAATTAAGCCCGACTGCACTACTTATAGCTCCTTGCGCCCTCTATACAGCAAACAATGCCTAAGTGGTGACCGTTAGTCCCCCATAATCCTCTTTTCCTTATGTTAATTGAGAGCTGACTTGATGAGATAACCACCAGTCAGTGACCTCGCAGGAAGGTCTAATCCCCCCGGTCAAACTAGTACAGATGGGCTTTAAGGAGGCATGATGGCTCGGTGGTAGAGTAGTGGTGTCATCACCGGGAGGTCTTGGGTATCAAAACTAAGTCAATGCGCTAGTGCCCTTTGGTAAGGCATTGATCCCCATTATGAAGCCACTCAGAGCAGACTTACAGCTGTCTGTCCCCTGGTTGCTTACTTGCAAGCTTACACATGCTTTATCAACAAACCAAACAAATTATAATGATAAGATTGATAATATGGATAATAATATTGATAGCATACAGAAGCCTGAGAAATAAGAAGAGAAAATAATTATGATAATATGATTCATAATTATGATGAAAGCATCACCAACTCAGAGACATAAAGAAAGATAATCATACTGATAAGATTGATAATTATATTATTAGTATAAACAACCCTAAGACATAAGAAAAGAATTTTAATGAGATTAATTATCATGGCAGCATACAAAGGTAGTATATGGGGGATGTTTTTTGTGAATATTGAATTATATGTCATTACAAAAAAAGGACCCTTTTATGAAAGAGGGAAAAAATTGTTAATAAGTGTCATATTCTCAAGACGATCCAAACAAATGAAAGTTTTTGTTCCCTTTTTC